ATACTGGTGCTATACTGGTGCTATACTGGTGCTATACTGGTGTTATACTGGTGTTATACTGGTGCTTTACTTGTGCTATACTTGTGCTTTACTCGTGCTATTTATTTACTATATTTAGGAAAACATAAAATGCATTAGTTAAAAGCAAAACCACAATCAGCCCCAGCATCAGTTTAATTAATAGAAAATTTAATCTTAAAAAATGTAGATGTATTTTGGAAAAAAAAAAAAAAACAACCAGGGGAAAAAAACTGTTATTTCATGACATGGAATAAATAAATAAGTGACACCATAACACCCCTATGAGCAGCTTTAAGTATACAGACGCCCATAAACCGCTAAAAGGCTAGACAGAAGCACTTCCAGTTGAAGGCTACGCTGCGTAGCAACTAAATCCCTCCAGAGAAGTCTGCGCTCGCTGGAGTGAGTCAGACTGCGTTTTTCCTGCGATTCAGAAGGAGCTGAACTCAGTTTTTCCTCTTCCTGCGATTCAAACCGAGTGAACGCAGTGTATCCTAAAGAGCTAATCCCGCTCTGCTAACCACCGAACAACGGGGGCCCAGAGACGCGGAGGTGCTACTACGAGTTGTGGCTACGTGCTAACAACCGTAGCTAAAAGGGAGATGTCCCATGCTAACGTGAGTTATAACATTTAACCCTCTTGTAAATTGCCTCTTATTGCTGCATCGGATTGATCCAAATCTCTGAGTGACTGTTGGACAAACGGACTGGACCAAAGAAGGGCCTGCAGAAACTGGGCCCAGCTGAAGGCCTTCACTCCACCAAACCAAACAGTCACTGCAAGGGAAGCAAGGGAAACGGAGCAAATCGGGGCAGCTGGGAACCATTTGCCTGACTGACCTTCCCAATGGTCACGATGTCGTCCTTGCCGTGCCAGTCTGGTTCGTAGACCTCATGGAGAGACTGTGTCAGGTTGATGGACGCCTGCTGCATGCCTATGGGAACAAACAAACTGTTTTAACCTCATGGGAGAGAAGCTGTGAAGCATCTTGGAATGATGCTCCATGTAAACGTGGAGTCAGATTAAGCCTGAATGGTTCAGTTTGTCACCTTTGATGGCAGACATGTAGGCCTTCATCTCCCTCTGCAGCCGAGCACCTTCAGACTGACAGAAAATACAGCAGATTACAAACCGCTGGACTTCTGTTCAATAACACTGATAAGACCCCAGATGCAGCAAACCTTTCTGAATTCAGACCAAATCAAAGAGATAATGAATGAAACAGATGAACAGCAGGAAGAAGCATCCCTCACCTCTTGTCTCTTGAAGTTAATAACCACTTGTTCAAACTGCTCATCTTTGGTCTCATCAGCTTTTCCAAGTTTCTGAAGAACCTGAGAAAGAGTTTTTCTAGGTGAATAAGTTGCTTTAACAGTTTACAGGAGAAGAACATCTACAAACATTTCCCTTCACTTGTTGAATTCATTTTTGGTTTCCAGCTATAATGAGTCATCTGGGACTCCCAATCTGTTGTTTAATATAAAACTAGTTTAAGGATGTCCGATTTGCACAAAGCATCCTATCCTAGAACCACGCAGAATCACCAGACCAGGCTGATCTCTAGAGTCAACCAGGGATTAGCCATGGCCCTGAGAGCAAAGGGGATGTAGATGTAGACTGACCACCATGATCATCATCATCATCATCATCATCATCATCATCATCATCATCATCATCATCATCATCACCACCACCACCACAGAGGAGCAGTTGCTTTGGGAAACATGAAGCAACTGCTGTTGATATTTGTTGTTTCAGTTAAGGACGATATGGACCAATAAAAATAAAATAAATTCAACTTTATTGATCTCTCATTGAAGAAATCCCCTCTCTGCATTTAACCCCTCCCCTTGGGGAGCAATAGGCTGCCATGGTGCGGCGCCCGGGGAGCAGTGTGGCGTTAAGGGTCTTGCTCAGGGACCCAGAGTGGCGGTCTGTGGGAGTGGGGCTCGAACTCGGAAGCTCTATGCCCTGACCACTAGGCCACTCCTCCCCTCTCTCTGATTGATCCATTTGTTTTATTCCTGCAGGTCTGGGTCCAGCGCCCCCTGGATCTTTGTTTTTTACCGCAGTGGAACAAATGTCAGAAAATAATCCCTTGACCTTTGTGTGTCCGTTACCATGGTAATTCACCCGGCGCCCTCCTGTATTTGCAGTCCCCTGTAAATTTAAATGTTATAAAAAGAAACTTTTTCTGCTGGTCACCTTATTGTAGTTGGTGGAAAGTGTTTATTCTAGATGTCTTAAAACATAAAGACGCTGGACTGGGACAGTTGGACGGTTCATGTCCTAAAGTGTCCCTTATTTTCAGGTACGTCATTGCGACCTTTAGGTTTGGGAAAGCAAACCTTCTTATCTGCTTTTGAAAAACGTCCTCAGTGGCTCTTTGATGCTTTGGATAGATGTTTGATATCTAGATTCAGGTCTATTATACTAACTTATTCATGTCAGTTTAATGGAAACACATTGAAAGTAGAACTTCATAGATCCTCACATTTTAAACTTTGGGAAGACTGGTTAGATACTTGTAGTCCTACTGTTTTTAGGGATATCGGCTGAACTCTGGTCGACATGTAGAAATAGGAGCCATGATTGGTTCCCTTCCACTGTGCCAAGAATTAATTTATCATTCAGCTCTTTAAAAGCGTTAAATAGAAGCTAATTAAATTATTAATAACATTTTTTAGCCTGGATAAAGGCCCAGAATGAACCCTTTAGAGCCTCGTATTTCCAGCCTGTATCAGCGTCTTTCTTCTTTAGGAACCCTTCAGTTTCCACATCAGTCTCATTACAAACTACCTTTGATGTGGCATTGGTTAATTATACTAACTGAGGACGTCCATCAGCACTGTCTATGTTCTAATTATCTACATCATAAATATTCCTTCCTCATCTCAATGAAAGACCTTTTAGATTTGAGGCGATTAATCTGTGACTAAACTAATTTCAGCAGGTTTCCCTCTTCTCCTTAAATCAATAAGACTCCAGACTTTCAGGGTTTAGGTTAACTAAACCCAGCCAGCAATGACCTAACTTACCAATAAAACTAACCTGTCCCTCCAAGCCATGATTGAACTAACCCGCCTCTAAAATCACTAACGCTTAAAGGAAAAATCACCAATGGATGAATTTAGCGCTAATCAGTAAAAAATAAAAACAATTTTTTTCTAAGGAAAACCAGAAAAAAAAGGAGAAAAGGTGAAAGAAGGAGGAGAACAAAAGGGAGATAATGATAAAAACATCCAAGAGCAAAGGCACCAAGGAGGGGCCAACCAAGCCACCGCAATGCCAGAGCCCCCGGAAGCCACAGGGAAGAGTCCGCGGGCTCTGCCGGCAGCCAGCCGACCCGAAGTGCATCCTGCCATGGGCCCCAGGGATCTAAGGACCCAGGAACGCCCCACCCCCCAGCAGGGGTTCCAACCGGGGCTTGAATGTTGTATTGTTGTGTGTTGCTCTCAGGTGTAATTAAAACTGGAAGTACCAAAAGGAGGTGTCCAACAAAACCCACCCCCCCCCTCCGGGAGATAGGCATTGCCAGCTCACCCCCCCATTCGACAACCTAGAACACTCAAAGTCTAAATGCAAGAGGGGGTGGGGGGAGCCGACCATGGTGAGGTCCATGTAATTACCCCCCCACCAGTCGCACTACCATAGCCCGGGGGCCAGGGACCGGCAGCAGGGCTCACAAGCCAGCCGGCCACAGGGCTGAGACCATTACCACCCAAACTAACCCCACCCCCAAACCCCACCCCATCCTGTCCATCCAAAAAAAAGGGGAGGACAACTTGACCAGCCAGCCCGCATGCACCATGCAGAGCCCCCACCCTGGACGGAGCTCCCACCAGGGGACGGCATGGACCAGGACCGATACAGGGAGCCAAACCCGAAGCCCTTCTAATATCCTCATCCCTCCACGACCAACCCCCACCGCCCGAGCAGAGATGTGATTCCCCCCCACATTAACTTTCAAACAACTCACCACACAAGAGACAAAAGACATCCAGGCCAACCCATTCCCACTCCCCCTCCCTCCCCTTCCCCCAACAGCAGAGTCTGCCATCTGCCATAAGGTATTAGTGCCCCTCTAACCCCTCACCCCCTGCCCAATAGGCCCCCCAGCACAACAAGGGGCCATGGCAGGGCCTGACAGGCGGGCGTACACCGGCCCAGACTCCAACCAGCACTCCATACAGAACCCAAACCCCCAACGGCCCTCCAGGGCACGCGCCTGACGGCAATGCGCCCCAGGGACCCCAGCCCTGCCCCGATTGGGGTAACAGACCCCGGGGCCAGACCCACCAAGCACCCCACTCTGAGCACCTCTCAGTGCCCCCAAGGACCCCTAAACCAGCCCCCGCTCCCCGTAGGATGCACTTCACAGCCCCCCACTACACTAAGTGATGGAGCCGATCAAGGGAGCCCAGAGAGATCGGTCTGATGGGGATGCAGATGCTGTCTCTAGATTAATATGATCCAAAAACAGATCTCTGATTGATGTTGAGTTTATCCTTACTTTTCCAATTCATGAGGATAGTTTTCTTTGCGATACATAATGCAGTGATGGCCATGCAAACTGATTTTTTTTCCCATAGAGCTTCCCCCAAACTCACCCAGCAGGCAAACTGGAGGG